TTTTCTCAAAACGGGATACTTAAACATAATCCATGTTAGGGAAGAACAGGTACTATACTGAAGACACATGTTCAAAAGCTGATATGAAAAAGAGGATTTTTATTTCAAGCCACCTGCTGATGGTATTTACTAGAACGAGTCCCCTGCCTTCAAATAACAGCACTAACATTGATGAACAGCATCGCAGTGCAGTACTAGGGATGCCAAAGATGGGAGAATGCAGAAATTCAGATCATGGAATAAACATGATTTGAAGAACTAATTACAGCTGCTGTCAAAATGACATGGAAATTCTGCCTCTCACTCCCTGCTCCACAGGCAGACTCACTCTCGGCCATGTCCTTGGAATATTAAAGCAAAAGATCCTGTCACTGAGAATTCACTACATCCATTCAAGGTAGCTTGGATAAGATCAAACCTCATCAGACATTTTATTATACCTGTAAAAACATGCAGCCTGTCTAGGCTCAATAAGTATTGCAATTTTTACATATACCGTAGAGGTTTAGTGGAAAGTAAATTGTTTCTTTAAAGAAAAACATGGCAAGAGTCCATATACTGGCTTTACTTTACCCGAGGAATATTTTAGAGAATTGTATTAAAATAAAATTCAGGTTGCAAAAAGCTGGTCACCAAAAGAGCTTGGCAGTGCCAGATGGAGATGGGCCATGGTAATCGAGCAGGGTTCCCTTACTCACGGGTCTGGAAACTCAGGCTTTAATCACATCCCTGACTCCCCTCCCACCTCATCTTTGTATCAATCAGCACAAGGGACTTGTGTTTCAAAGCCCCATCATGCTAGCACAAAGAGGGCAATTGCCTGCAAGACCCTGTCCTGCTTGTGCCAGAAACCAGGCAGCTCAAAAGGCCCTTGCAGTTGCTACAGGTCTCTTTTCCAGATGGATTTTATTTAAGAATTCTTCTGCAACAGGGTGCAAATCACTGAAACTGAAATAAATATAATTTGTTAAACCGTCAGCTATCCAACCTAAGGCTTCCAGAGACAGAAATCTCTAGTATTTACTACTGATTACAATACAACTTGTGAAGACTGTGCTATAAAACTGCAATGAGAAGAGGGGAAAAAAAAAAAAAAGGCAGATATATCAAATTCCAGGTGAACCAACCCAAATGTACTGGCACTGTTTCATTAATAGGTTTACTGTCTCCATCACATCATCATTATATGGAGCACCCTCTTGTCTCACACAGATGTCACTTACTGCATATGCGTAGCACAGATAACACAGTCAGGTACCCGGGCAATTCTCTTCCATGAGAGGCTTAAATGGCATTTACTGCTTAAAGCAAGGACTTGTAAAATAAGGCAAGATTAAAAGCCATATTTGCTAAGAACCCTTTCGCTGAGCACTATCATCCAAACGCTGGAGAAAAGCAGGGCCCGCAGCAAAACGCGGATGACTGTGCAATTAAAGACCGCAATCATGCACACACACATGCAAGGATTAATTGGCTGCTACCAGCTCACACTAATAGAAAAGTGCTCGACTCCCCAGCTCGGGCGTTATGTCATTTTCCACAATGATTTAAAGTACCTGTCACTCGAACCATCAGTCCCACCTCAACAGGAAAAGGACGGGGTAGCGAATACCTATCTAGGCACCTACCAACGGCCACGGGAAGGTGCAGGGTCCTCGGTAGCCGGACCCCAGGCCCTGCTCCCCGCGGAGCTGGAGCAGATAGTCTCGCAGGTCCCTGCTGCCCCTTCCTGAGACCCTAAAACCAACCACGTCTGTGTCTCTGACACCCCTTTCCCACCGCCCCTTTGCCCAGGCGTCCTGCCCCACACAAAAGAGGGGAATTGCAGGATTTCTGGCGCCGCACACCCGGCTCGGGGGGGATATGCGCCCTCTCCGGCACCGCGCGGCCCGCTCGAAACCTCCGCAGAGCTCCGCGCCGCGCCGCTCCGGCAGCCCCGCG